AGCCACTGCCAACGGGACTGTCAATGAATAGAACATTCATATCCTTGACCCAGGTCCATTCGCGACAATTGCCATCTAGCTGCAAGGGTCCCAGCTCCTCGAAGTTGCCATAGCCTGCCGATGAAGTACCTGGACCACCTTGCAGCCAAATGGCCAAGGGTCGATCGGTATACTTGGTGACATTGGCTGTGGTGTAGTAGAGCCAGTGGAACATGTGGGCGCCCTCGCGAACATCCACAAAGCCCCAATCCTGTTCGCCTGGCCCATAGCCCACGCGGGCTATAAAGAGAATTTATTAGCTTTGTATTTATTCCACCTCAAGATCCCGATTGGCATATAAAGTGGATTCCATCAATTATTAAGCACTCTTGGATGTTTGCCAAATTGAGGTCGCACTATTACTGTTCCACTTACCATTGACGGCCCCAGATTTAAAGAGTGCTAGAAGCACAGTAAAGCTGATTAAGAGTCCACTCATTTTGCGCTAGTCGCGACCGAACAGTTCGGACTGTGTCGACCGTTTGATCCTAGGTAAATCCACACACAACAAAAGTAAGCATATTCCAACTCTCTAGGGTGTGGGCAAAGCATTAAAAATAAACAAATATCACGATATATAGTGATCGGAATTACAGATTTGTCCTCAGGTCTTCACGAGTAATGAGCTAAGCGTGGACATTTATTATTATTGAAGGCAAAACGTTAGTTACTTAATGCACACTTGCGTTTGCCATTTATCGGAGTCGTGCTTTAATGAGTCTTTCAGTTTTCAATTAACTTTATTTGCTGCTATCGTGGAACATACATGACTTCTAACTCTATCCAAAGCCGGTGAATTCACGCAGGATGTGGCTCATGGCAGCGGGGTTGTCAGCGGGCACCATATGACCGGAGCGATTTACCCAGAACATGGTGAAATTTCCAGCTGCTTTCTGGTATCCCTCCAGCACGCGATCCACTGTGATGCCGACGCGAGAGCTGCTCAAATATGTGTTCTTATCGTTCCATTTCATACTGTCAATCCAGTTGACCGCACCGGGCGTAGCACATATCAAGTCCAAGCCACCCGAAAAGACACCAACTTTAACAGTTGTGCTGTTGAGCAACTCCTCAACTGTGCAAACACAAAAATAATTTATATATACTTTCTATATATTAATGTAGGTGACCTACCGATATGAACAGCTGGCTTCATAAAGTCGCCCCAAAGCTTGTTGAAAGTTGTCCCACTTTGCGCGCCCCACTTGATGGTTAAGTTAAGTGCTTTGGTTACGGGTCCCCGCATCAGATCCTCTAACAGTTTATCTCGATCCTCATCAATGTCAAAATGCACCAAGGTGCGATACATGCGCTCTATAAATACACATAGCTTTAAAAACGGTTTCTTCAGTTGGAATGTCGTAGCTCACCTTCCGGACTCATATCTACCAACAGCCTCAGATAATTATCACCGCGTGTGGGAGTCTCTACATTGTAGAAATCCACGCCCTTCGATTCACGCTTCACTACCGACTGAGTGGAGCTCCATTGACTTGTAGCTTGTGTCCACTCTTCACCATCAACCAGGTTCTTGGTCTTCAAAGCTGCGGCTTCGATCTTATCATGGCCATCCTGATCGACAATGCCCAATTGGAGCAGATAAGGCGCCCAGGAAAGCATTGAGTCAATGGGAGATGTCCAGGGATCACCGAGAGCTACTGACTGGAAGTTGCTCTCGATCTCACCTCGTTGTATGGCATAGTATAGCTCCAGAGCAAACTCTGGTGCCATTTTGCCTCCATAGCTCTCACAGAAAATATGCAAAGGCGTTTTCTTAAACTCCGGGTGCAGCGCATAGAAACCCTTCATGAACTCCACCAGATCCAAGGCAATTTGCTTGTTGTTGGTGGTGTAGTAAGAAGAGCCATCCACATAACTGAAGCCAGTGCCCACGGGATTATCAATAAATATAACATTCATATCCTTGACCCAGGTCCATTCGCGATAATTGCCATCTAGCTGCAAGGGTCCCAGCTCCTCGAAGTTGCCATAGCCTGTGGATGAAGCACCTGGACCACCTTGCAGCCAAATGGCCAATGGCCGATCCGTATACTTAGTGACATTGGCTGTGGTGTAGTAGAGCCAGTAGAACATGTGGGCGCCCTCGCGAACATCCACAAAGTCCCAATCCTGTTCGCCTGGCCCATAGCCCACGCGGGCTATAAAGAGAATTTATTTGAATTAAATATGTAAGTATGCAGTAACAATAGAAAGAATCTAATCATTCTACGTTTTTTATATACAATTAAATAGAGTTGTTCATTGTATATATTGCTAGCAGCTGGGATGATAAGATAACTATCTGTTTGATTGAGGATCACAAATTGTTCACTCATGGCAATTAACCACGTTTTAAAGCAGGTTGTAGGAGCTCTTTGAGTATTTCTACATTATCTACTCGAGTAGGTACTCGATAGGTTTATGCAAAATTCACCCAAAGTTATTTAAAACACATGCTCCAATACTTTCATTGTATTCCTAACACCCAATACGCATATAAAGTGTTCTTTCAACGCGTAAACACAGTTGGATGTCTGCCAAAATGAGGTCGCACTGTTGCAGTCCCACTTACCGTTGACGGCCCCAGAGTTGAAGAGTGCTAGAAGCACAGCAAAGCTGATTAAGAGTCCACTCATTTTGCACTAGCTGCGACCGAACAGTTCGGACTGTGTCGACCGTCTGATCGTAGGTGAATCCACACACAACAAAGGTAAGCACATTCGAACTCTTTGCTTGAGTGACGTGTAGGCAAGAGAAGCATATCAGATCGTAATTGCGGATATGTGCAGATATGTATGGATGTCTTCAGGTCTTCACGAGTGATGAGTTAAGCGTGAGCATTTATTTATTTATGGCTGATATTTTCTAAAGTGCTTACCTTATCACTTGCATTCATAAATTTAGCTGAAGCCAATAAGTTAGTTACTTAATGCACACTTGCGTTTACGTTTCTCTCTTATCGGAGTCTTGCTTTAATGGGGCTTTCAGTTTTCAATTAACTTTATTTGCTGACTTTCTACATGACTTCTAACTCTATCCAAAACCTGTGAACTCGCGCAGGACATGGCTCATGGCGGCGGGATTGTCGGCAGGTGCCATGTGTCCAGATCTATTTATCCAATACATGGTAAAGTTACCGCCCGACTTCTGATAGCCCTCCAAAATGCGATCCACACTGATCGCAACACGTGGAGCAGCCAGATACTCTTCTCTTCTGGACCAGTTCAGCTTGTCTATCCAGTTAACTGTGCCAGGTGTGGCACAGATCAGATCCAAGCCGCCCGAGAACACGCCCACTTTCAAAGGAGTGTTGTCCAACAGCTCATCAACTGCACATAGAATATATGATGAATTATGTAATTTAGTTCTCTATTAGATGCAGCCATTACTTACCAATGTGTATAACGGGCTTCATGAAGTCAGTTTTATGAATGTCAAAAGTGGTGCCACTCTGTGATCCCCATTTAACATTGGGGGGTATGCCTAGAGTTTCAGCTACAGGTCCGCGCATAAGATTCTGCAGCAGCTCATCACGATCTTCATCGATGTCGTACTTCACAATGGTGCGGTACATACGCTCTGTGGACAGGCATTAACTGTACTCAACTTTACTTAATCATATTTTCGTTACTCACCTGCGGGCGTCTGCGAAATCTGGCGTTGATAGCGATCACCCCGCGTCTGCTTGAGCACATTATAGAAATCAACGCCCTTTGAGGCTTTCATTACCTCCCATTGAGTATTACTCCACTGCGCAGTGGATTGTATCCAACGCTCGTTGGCCACCAGGTCGGCAGTAAAATTGGCCGCCTCCATTATGGCATTATAGCCATCATGATCCACGATGCCCATTTCGAGCAAAAATGGACCCCATGCCAGTACCGAGTCAATTGGCGACGTCCAAGGATCTCCTAGAGCCACAGACATCAAATTGGTTTTAATCTCTCCTCGTTGCTTAGCATAGTAAAGCTCTAAGGCGAACTCTGGAGCCATTTTCCCGCCGTAGCTTTCGCAGAAGATATGCAACGGAACGGTTTCAAAATCCGGATGCAGGGCATAGAAACCCTTCATTAGTTCAACCAGATCCAAAGCAATTTCTTTATTCGTGGCCGTATAATAAGCAGTGTTATCCACATAACTGAAGCCACTGCCCACGGGATTGTCAATGAATAGCACATTCATGTCCTTTACCCATGTCCACTCTCGATAGTCACCATATAAATCAACAGGACCCAACTCCTCAAAGTTGCCATAGCCCGTAGATGAGGCACCTGGACCACCTTGCAACCAAATAACCAAGGGCCGATCGGTGTACTTGGTGACATTGGCTGTGGTGTAGTAGAGCCAGTAGAACATGTGGGCGCCAGGACGAACGTCCACATAGCCCCAGTCCTGTTCGCCTGATCCATAGCCGGGCTTACCTAATGTGTTCGATATTGTCAGTTAATATTGGTATTTATATGTTTTTTAAACTTACCAATTGCCAGAGTTGCGTAGCATAGCAAAAATATTGCTAACATTGGAATTGCAGACGCCATTGTCCGTTACAGTCAGCAGCTCTCGGCGCTTTGACGATCGCTAGAGCGTTGATGTCCATTTTAATGCAGTGGCTTATCAGGAATGTCAATACCAGTCTATCTTGATACGCGTTTTTAGTAAAGCAATTGAAAGCGCGCTACTGTAATCGATTTATTAGCAGCCATTATCAAACCTAATAGCAGTATACCCATTGACATAGGTTTAGCAAGCGTATAAGTAGTAAGCGACTAAGTCAATAATGTAAGAATGAAAAATATAGAAAATATGTTTACAGGGTGAGTCCATTCAGAAGCTAATCCTTAAAAAAAAACTGTCATTTCACAATGCAACTTTAAAATTTGTTATCGATAGCTGCAACATTACACCGGCGAAAGAAATCTTAGTGGCAGCACTAGTAAAACAGCTGTTGGTGCTCTGTGTTGTTATATTTCTTTGTGTCTGGCGGCAGATGTGGGTGGGCATTAATTAAATTATATTTTACAATTCATCAACGACATGGCATCAGTGCGCATACCAAAGCAAAAGGTTATACTTTGCGGCGATTACGGCGTGGGAAAGAGCTCCTTATTCAGACGTTTCACCAATAATACATTTATTACTGAGACGGACCGCAAGTCGACGCTGGGCCTAGATCACATCGACCGCGAATACAATGTGGGCGAAAAACAAATTAAGGTGCGTTTTATTGTTGTGTATTGGTATGACAAGACACTGATTTAAAAAAAAAAATCTGGGCAGCTGCAACTGTGGGACACTGGCGGCATGGAGCGCGTAGCGTCTGTGACCTCATCCTATTACAAATTTGCAGAGGGTGCTATTCTGGTCTTTGCCTTGGACAATGCGGCGTCGTTTCATTCCTTGTCGCAGCACTTGCTAGATATAGTCACATATGCGGAGAATGCCAAAATCTTTATATGCGGCAATAAGTGCGATCTCGAAGGACGCGAGCCAGAAGTAAGCGATGAGGAAGTCGAAGCCTTTTGTGAGCAGTGCCACAGCCTGATTAGTGCAACCTACAAGACATCCTGTCGCACGGGAAAGGGTATTGAGGAAATGTTCCAGGACATCTCACGTCAACTGGTGCAAGCCAACCGTTCCAAAATGGAGCTTCAGGCACTCGAGCGACAAAGCTTTCAAGTGGACAAAACAAACCAGGCGGAGATCAACGAGGATACCTCCTCGTGCAGCTGCTAGCAGTTGGGAAACATTGAGTTTGGCTAATTTGTTGGCGCTTAATGCTGAACTCAATGCATTTTGAATAATTTATTAATGCCAAAAACTTTGTTAGTTTTATTATTATTTGTAAATATTCACTGCGAATTTAATGCTAAAACGTCCTAAAATGATATATTTATATAAATTCAATATGATATAATTATTATTTATATGCGCCCAGACACAAAAGCCAACAATTTATTCTTTAAATACATTTAACATTCATATGAACAAGGGGCATAAGTCATAGTAAATTAAGCTTTGTAGTTTAGTGCTTAAAGTTTCTGCAATATACATAACTAACTCACATTTGAAACTAATAATAAATAATCAATTAACTCAACAAGGAATGCCCTAATGTTTTTTATAGCCGCAAAACTATGATGTGGCCGCTGTGGAGCTGGGTGCAAATGTTAAATAGAGGCTCACTCCAACAGCAACCACAAAGCAAATCCCAACGCCATAAAGGACGACCTTTTCGCGCAGTGCGCGCAGCATCATCGAATTAAGGGTGCGGGAGGCGCGTCCTAAATCGGCATTCGTTTCCCTTAGACGAGCGCGTGCGCCCTGCAACGTCTCGCGTTGATGATGTAAATCTACCAAGATTTGGGGAAAGTATGACAAAACACTTAGATGAAAACTAGTATAAATATAAATACCACTGAGAACTTGTGCGCCTAGTGCTTCCGTTTCAATAGCTACACGATATCCCTCAGTTAGTCGATTGCCGGTGCGTTCAATGCGCTCGGAGTTTTCGAGCAATCGCTGGCGCTGATCATTGCTGATGGCTACATCCTCGTAGTAGTCACCACCGCCAGCTAAATCCAGGGTGGTGAAACTGTTTGCCTGCGATCGTAATCTGTCTTTCGTTTGTTTGTATTCCCCTTGCAGGCGCTTCAACTCCGCCTGGGCGACCTGGATTTTATTATTGAAGGCACTGCGCTGCAATGGATTGAGTTCGCGCACCTCTAGGCCCATTTGCTCGAGCAGCTCTTGTGCTTCGGACAAGCTGGCATCGATTTTGGTGCACAGTTCATTGCGTTCGGCTACAAATGGGGGGTTTATCAAACTGCTCGTAAAAATATGTTTGACTTGCACTCACTTGCGTTCTGCTGCAGACGACCAATATGTGCAGTTATTTCGGCGATTAGCGCTGCATATTGCTGTTCATATTGCTCAAGAAGCGACATTTGAGTTTTATTTAAATTGCTCTTAGTTTTTTGTCAATTTGCAAAAATCTGCTTAAGTATTTGCTGCTTCTGTTTTGTTTATCATTTCAGTCACCAAATGCCATTCACAACGAACACTGCAGTGTTGTAAAGTGCAAACATGGGCGTTGCCAGACTTGTGCAATCGGACTTAACTAGTCTTTTTGAATAAAAATACGTTTTTCTTAAATAAATTAATAGTTTTTATTATAATCTCATCGAATACCATTTGCTAGCCACAGTTTCTGTTTACTCAAATATGTATTACTTAAATCAAATTGTGTGGAAAGACAAAATAATAATACTACTTCATTAATTAACTACTTTATGAATATGTATGTACATTGTTCATCACATTTCTGTATATTCTGTGTTTTTGTTTGTATATTTTGAGCAGAATTTAACCCTCTATAAGAGTGGCCTTGTCACACTTGCGTAGCACCAGCTCCAGCTGCGACAGCAGCCCAATGGCACGGAAATTCTCCTTGACGAGCACAAAATCCTCTAGAGGCTTTAGGTACTCCAATGCTTGAGTATAGCTATCCAGTTCCTTGAACACATTTGTCAAGGAGCTTGAGTCCGGCTCCGGTGAGTTGTGACCATTTGTTTGACTGCCGGCACTTCCGCCCAGCTTCTTTGGCGAAGCTGGTGCGGATACAGTTGCGGGTGGGCTGCTGCCCTTGATTGAGTGCACAGGTGTCGACTTTCCACTGTGGCAGTCAGTCAGAGTCTTAGGGGCATTCTCCTTGCTGCTGGCGCTATCGCGTCCACTGTTATTGTTCTGTTCCTTGGGACTGGGAGAATGCTGGGCCAGCAGTGTGGTGGCTGTGGATTCGGCCAGAGGCAGTGGCAATGGCGATCCACGTGCGGCAGCCGAAGCATTGATCTCTTGTACTTCATCATCAGCTGGGGACTCCAATTTGGGACGCTTGGCCAACTGAACTGGCTGGAAGGGACTGACACGATGCTGCGACTGATTTGGGGGCAATTGTGGCTGGAAAGGCTCACGCGGCGGGTGAGCACCTGGTGGTGGCGGCACCACATGTGGCGGTGGGAACTGTCCCTGCAACTGTTGCTGCTGCATTTGCTGTTGCAGTTGCTGCTGATGGCGCTCAAAGTAATAGTCATTAAAGCTGAAGCCGGGATGCGGATGTGGATGACCGTGTGGATGGCCGGGGAAGGGCGGCCAGGCTTGATTCATTTGAGGCTGCTGATGATGTTGTTGCTGCTGGAGGTGCTGTTGCTGCAGCGCGAAATGCTGCTGTTGCTGTTGCTCCTGATAGCTTTGCTCCTTGTTGTCCATGCTATCCTCGTCCTCCTCATATTCGCCATACTGTTGCATGTAGTTCATGTACTGCTCTGGCATCTCCTCCAACTTGGCAACACGCTCTGCACTGGCCGGCGGAAACAAATGCTGCAAATCCTGCACAATGTCCGGTATCCACAGCGATGTGCCCATCGGTTTTAGCTGATTGGTGGCCAGTTTCTGGGCAAAGCCCTGCAAATGTGTCTCGCGGAAGCGATTCAGCCAACGATTGTCCGCTATGAACGATGTGCTGCCAATCACCTGGCGCGCATTCTCTGCCTTGTCCTTGATCATGCCATGGGTTATGCTGCCTCTCAGCTGTGGATTTATATTGGCCCGCACCAGCCACTCATAGACGACGGCATTGATATAGGCGCATTTGCGACTGCGCTCAATCTCTTCCACCATGGCCTGCTGCTCTACGGCCTCCAAATTGGAGGGCACCTCCAAGCGCAAAGTGGGCAAAGCATTTGACTGCAGTCGTCGGCCGCCAAGCACACTGGGATCAAAGTGCAACGCGCACACAACCGGCTTCTTGAACGGAATGATGCGCCGCAATGAGGCATGGCACGCCTCCTTCCACAGCTTATGAAAGGGATTGTCAGGCCGTGGAAAGGCAAAGAACTGCATGTTTGGGTGCTGCCTCGAATTCGACAAGCATCCAATGATGCAGCAGCGCCGTATAGTCGGCATGGCAACTGGTATACTGTTTACGCCCCGAATTGTTAATGAATTTTGTTGGCGTTGCAAATGAATGCCCGCCAATACGAATCAGAACATGAAAGTATAAACAACCAGCTGCAACGAGAAGAAAAATTTAAATTATTAGTTGAATTTAAATTGTAATTCACAAATTAACAACTTTATGCTGCTTCAATCCTGATTTCTGTCTTCCTTTCTACTGACATTATTTTCTTTCTATTCTGTCATTCGTTTTGCTTTGAATATCGCCGCTTTTCAACAAACAGGCTGGCAACGCTACACACTGGAGAAACAGTTAGCCTGTCGGTTTGAAAAGGCGCGATGTTAATATTTTGAAATATTAATTTCAATGAATATTCTTTCTTTCTTTTATATATCAATGTTAGCACATTAAGGCCACTAGTATACTTTTAGCACACCCTCATATGTTAAGATATAACATAGAAATATATGACGGTTAAACAGCTTCAAATTGCAAAAGGGCAATCGACTTTAAGCTTAGAAATTGCCAGGCAACCCTTCAGAAAGTTAAGAAAAAAGAAAAACAATTTCAAAGAAAGTTCAATAAAAGTTTTTGTGCTTAATCAACATCAAAAACTAAGAAACTTTTGTTGCAGCCAAACTCCTTTAAGCCATGCCCTAGGGAGAAGTACTTTTCTCGGGGAGAAGACAAACTCTTAGTATGTACATAGTCTGTACTGAAATTGTAAAGTAAGAATTGATTTCGACTTCTTATGAAACACGAATCACTACTATATATTTATCTACAGCGAAGGACAAAAACTACCACGAAATCATATTGAAATCTGTGAAAAAACCAGATTTTCTGGGGGTTCAACACATGACGCATTATATTTATGTATATACATATGGACATACGGTAGACATTTGTATTTATAATAGCTTCGACCTCGGATTTTTGGAAAAATACCATCTGCACGCACACATACACGCACAATAGAGATACACTCACACACACACCCGAGGGCATGCCTGTTAGTTATGTAGGTACTTCAGAAAGTTTGAATCTATATAAGAGCAGTACGACGAGCGTGATGCCCGCTATAAGTTACAGATACGAGCGCACCATAAAAACATCTCTCTCACACACACACAAACACACACACACATACACATACGAGTGTTGATAAATTTGAACCGCTGCTGAGGCAACGATGCGTACGCCTTCAGAAATCGATACGTTTTCCAGTCCCAAGTCACAGCCCCCAAAACCAGACCCAGTCGTACGTCGAACGCTCCATTATGGGAGCACCCAAGCGCCCATACCCATATCGGCAGTGCTCACACATATACACTAATGCACCTACAGATACAGATACACGCGCATACAGATACAAATACGAAGATAGCTGCTGCTGCTGCTAGCTCAGCTCTGCTCGGCTCGGCTCTAGCAACAGCAGCACTTGACTAAAGTGAACGACTTGGTCGAGCCTCCGTCTCCTCCTGCTCCTCCTCCTTTTCAAGATTGAGGGTAATACTCTGCTGAGTCAGATACATAGCTGCGATGCCCCCTTTTGAATAAGCCACCTGCCTGAGTCAGAGGAGCCGGTATTTTCGATTAATAAGATGACTTAATACATAAAGCAATGTTCGTGTTCGGTTGAAGATTTACTATTTTGAAACCGTTCTCCGTTCTCCGTTAGCCCCTTCCCCATATTCAGCACAGCACAAATTGTTGCTTGGGTTGGATTTACGGAATTGGGTTTTATCTTTCAGTTCAACTGCAGGTAGCATAGCAGTCAGCTAGCTTAGGGGTGGTTCACTGTCGCAGCTGTTGTTGGCGGAAACTTTTTGTGTGCCGGAAACTTAGTTGGCAAGCAAAAGTTTCATAGCCCAAAAAACCCTTCCACTGAGCATCTTCAAGATATTTCTACACAGCCCGTCGCGCACCTTGACACAAAACGAATAAAACGATTCGGTCTTCGTCTATGCTTCGTATTCCAAAAACAAACAAACACACACACGCACACAAAAGACACTCGGAGACATACATACGCACACACACACACACACACTCATACATATATATATATACTTGTAGTCGAGTGCACTACACCATCAATTCCAATTCAAATCTCCCCTGACTGACTTGCTTTATAAATGGTTTTATATTTCCTTTTATGTCGTCGCTGAGCTATATACACTGCTCGAGCGTTCGAGCATTCGAGCATTCGAGCTGTGGCTGTGGATGTTTTTCTGCTATACGAATACATATTGCTCTGCCCCTGCTGCTCTGCCTTTGCCTTAACTCGGCTCTGCTTTAGCTGAGCTCAGTTCAGTTCAGCTCATCTCATCTCTCTGCTTCCTCTGCCTCTGCCGCTGGCTCTGTTGCTGCTGATGCTGGCCGCCCTGCTCGCCTTTCTTTCCCTTATATCGATTGGCACTTTATCTTAATCGCCTTGAGACATCGTCCCTGTTCCGCGCCCTAAATCCTCCTCCTCACACACCCTGAATAATGGTTGCCTACAACTGGCTAAGGTTGTCGGTTTTAGCTGTAAGGCTGCTTTGGGGATTCGTGAAATTTCGTGCATCGTCATCATTATCATCATTATTATCTTCGTCTCCGTCGTCGTCGGCGTCGTTGTCGTGAGCCTTAGCTACAGCTACGTCTACAGTTCTCCCATCGAGCGCCCTTTTGTTGGTACGTATCTTTTGTATCTCGATATCTGTCTATCTTTGTATAACCCAGCTATTGCTTGTATATGTTCCGTCAGGCACTCTACCTACTGCCCGTTCTTGCCTTTTATGCTTCAAATATTCGTAGCATTAACATTCCAATTCCAAATTCAGTTTCAGATTTCCGAGTCTGTGTTTGTGTGTATATTTTGTTGTTGTTGTTGTTTTCATATCTTTTCATATAGTCAGGTAATTTGTTCTTTTTAGATTGATTTTCGTCATGCTTAGGTAGATGTATAAATATACGTACATATATATGTATGTATGTAGAGCTATTTATGTCGTATGTGTTAGTCGTGATAGTTCAAGGTGACCTCTTATATATTTTGCTGCCTTTATACAAACATACATGTACATATATAGCTGAGGATATACATATATTAAATATATAATTAAATACAATATGTTAAAGGTTTCCTTTTAATAGCTGATGTAATAATATGTTAATCCAATATAGAAGTGAATTATTTTTATGGCTGTGATTAGGGTTTATTTATGTATCCATAAAGTTCTTTTGTATAATTCGAATTGAGCTCCAATATTATACATAAATGAATATATTTATCTGAGCTATAAACTTGTATCCATAACGCTCATTCGTATAATTCCAATTGCACATGCACTCACAACTCAAACTAGATGCTTATCAGCTGCTGGTAGCCCAGTGTCAATGTCCTGTTATCAGTGCTACGGTACTTTCTCACACAACCCCGAAATGCCAGCGCGCCAACACGGAAACAGGCGCGAAAACCGAAAGCGTGATAAAAACATAAAAAACAAGAAAACAGAAAAAACTGAAGCAAAAACGAAAACAAAAACAAACCAAAACAATCAACGGCCCAAAGACCAAAACACTTTCGCAGTCGACGTCGCTGCCGCCGCGCAGTCTAACTGTATGCAAACAAAAACAAACGCGACCCGCAAACATTTTTAAATAGCGGGACAGGCGGGCAAACACTTGCTGCTGCTGCCGCAGCTGGCAGATGGCGCCGCGTGTGGCATGCAAATGCCGATGCCCATGATGACGTCGACGTCGACGTCAACGGGGATGCCGATGACGATGACGATGCCGCTGGCAGCGACGTCAGCGTGGCCGCGCTGCGCAGCTTTTTTAATTGCACACAAACAGAATAACAACAACAAAAACAACAAGAACAGAACGAGTAAAAGCAAGAGCGACGGGAGCACGGCAACAATGACAACAGAGCAGCCGTAGCAGCGGCTGGGCCGAGGCAGAATCTCAAGACCCCGTTTGTTTACATCGCCACACACACACACACACACACACGTGCACACACACACACACACATTACACATTCGCACAGTGGTACTCACTTAAGGAGCGTGAGCCGTGTCGAGCACAAACATTCGATTCTTGAATGAAACTTTGCACGATTTTCGATGCCGTTTATAGTCTGTGTATTTATTTAAAAATTCGTATCTAAATATGTATATATTTATTTGTGTATGTATATATAATAATCGTTCAGTAGCCAAGCCGAAAATCAAATCAAATCAAATCGTATCGTATCGAATCGAAATACCGCGCCTGGCTAACAAGAAGCGCGTTTGGCCGCGCTGTGAGAACCGCTTCGCACGAACGTTCAGCACAAAGTGAAATATACGAAACTAGCGACAACATCGCCAAGCGACTCGACGACCGACCCGACCGACTCGTTTTTCCCATCTATAGGAAATATTTAATCCCAAACAAGCCAGGCCAAACCAAACCAAAACCAACCGAGCAAGCAGCCAGCCAAACGATGGGCTGTGCATTGCGAAGGGCAGGGCAAGGCATGGCATGGCAGGGCGACGCAAGGCGAGGGGCAAGGCGGTCGGCAAGGACGGGCAGAATATCTTGCGAAGTCGACGTCGCAGTCGGCGTCGGGCGTGCAGTGTAAATACGCAGCAGCAGAGGCAAACTGTTTGGCTGTCTGTCTGCTCGTCTGCCTCTTCGTCTGCTCATTTGTCATTCAGTCAGTTCGTGGACTCGTCCGTTCGTCAGTTCGTCAGCCGGCAATGGCAAAAACCCGAAGTTCATCCGATGTTTGGGGTGCTTTTGGCTCTGCTCTGTTGGGCCCTTTGGTGGTACGCTAAGACTTTTTATTTAGGTGGTTTGAAGCGGGCTGGAGTGGTTGTTGTGGTTGCGACTGGGGTCTGAGGGCTGGGGGCTGCTGCTGCAGGTCTCGGCTTGTCGTGCTACCCAGGTTCGGGACTTTATATGCGTCGTCTATAGCGAACACTGATGGGATTTTGAAGGTGTCGAGACGTAAAGCCCGCCCGTCGAGTAAATTTCTCTATTTTAATGATATAGGGTGTGTTCGTCTATCTATATGTATATGCACATGTGTATGTACATATTTGTAACTTGTATATATTTTCTTTTATTATATTATATATGTGCTCGTTATATGTATATATCGTAAATACGTTTTATGTGTGATATAATTTTTATAGACATCATTCGACTTTTAGAGTATTATTCAAGCATTTTCCTCTGAAGCACTTTAAGCAGTTGCCACATTTATCTAAACACGGCGTTGTTGGATTTACTTGCAGCGTATCTATCCGATATTTGTTCCATCGACCGATCTCAGGCAACTCGAGTCAAATGCGCGTGATCCCTGAACGGAAACTACCATTGATTAGTGCTATAAAACTCTATTAAATACTACTAGCAACTGCTCTCTGGCTTAACAGTTTTGCATAATATCGCAGCCAACTGAGCAGATCTCATATAATTAGCACATCTTTTGGGTCCAGCCAAATGTCAAATATAGTGCGAGAAATATATATAAATATACATATATATCATTCTTCTTCTTTTTTGGTTCGGCTCGGCATCTGGCCAAATTAAACAAGTTTCCGTCTGATACGATAGCGAGTACTTCGTATTCGTATGCTACCCACATTATGCGTCTTCAATCAATCGTGAGCCAAAAGATACATTTGTATCTGTATCTGTAGCTGCTGCTTCGGTTCCCAGGTCATTATATTTTATACATCCGTTAACGAAATGCCAAAGCAACTTCAATACGAGCTCTACATATATTTATATATAATACATATATATTTTTATATAAACAGAAAAATCCATTCTACGCCAACATCTTTTCCAATACACAACTCACGCACACACACTCGCATACACACACGCATATAAACACTTATAACAAGCTCGTGCATACATGGAGCTATCTAAAAGATGCTGAGAAGTTGATACCACTGCGACGTGTGTATATCTGTAACTTGAAGTATTGCTCTGCTCAGCTCGGCTCTGCCCGGGCAGCAACAGCAGTAGAAGATACAACAGCAACAACAAATATATACACTATAAACGTGTTGTAGTTAAACCCATTATCGTTGTTGGTTGTGGGTCGCCCAAAGCAATTTGATGGATTAGTTTTAATACGAGGAGTCGGAATAGTGAGAGAACAGTCGGAGTCCGACTCGAAGTGGAAATGTTGCTGGTTAATGCAGTTTGGGTTCGGTTCAGCTCGGTTCAATTGAATTGGATTGGATTACGACTCGTTATGGTGGTTGAAAAATCTATATGCACGCATATATTTATATGTATATAATTTATATATGTATAAATATGTACATAAGGAAAATATTAGCAATTTTATGTGTGCATAAATGCGAGCTAAAAGTATTAGCAAAGGTAGCTAAACCACACGCAGTTTCCGCCACTCAGCATCCAGCAGCAGCAGCAGCAGCAATGGGCGGGTGGGTGGTCCGGCGGTTCGGTGGTTCGAGTTACGCTTTAAGTTTCTAGAGTTGACGACGATGACTCGACATTAATATACATTATATTTTGTGCAGCTATCGACTGTCCGGCAAAAGTTTTCAAATGCTTTTTGGGGTTGTCCTTTGGAGCTAGAAGCTAGGAGCCAAGGGCCGGCGGTAGGGGGGCAGGCTTTAAGGGAGCCGTAAGCCCTTTGGCAACCTTTCCCAAAAAACGAGCTATGGCAAACGAGCGAAGAAAATGACCTTTCCTTGTGCGTTTTGCACGAAAACCGAATGATTACGACTAGGATAAAACATACAGATGCAGAGCTACATATATAAATATATGTATATATATATATATACTATTACATTATATCTATATATGTATACGTAGCTCCCACACTCTCACTCCCTCACACATACACACACCCACACACAGTCCTTGACAAAAGCTCATCTATTATGACCTTTTTCTACAGAGCGGGGATTTAGCCATAGAATTTATTATGGTCATGTATTATATTGAACTGAAATGCCCGCATACCGCTAACCCACCGACCGCATCCACAAAACAACATCTGAATGTCCTTAGTGCTCGTCCCTTTTCACAGATACGATATGCCACAGGGAGGCACAGACGTAGACGTAGTTGTAGACATAGCCATAGCCATAGCCATAGCAACCAGATAGTATTTTTCCATTACCTTTTTTGATTAGGTCCGGGTCTGCGATGCTGCTGCTGCTGCTGCTGCTACAACTGCGGATGCTGCTGCCGCTGCGGCTATTGTAGTTGCCTCAGCTGAAGGTATCTCCGACTCCCGACTCCCGGCTCTCGACTGTCGTATCTCTACATCTCGTCCATTGTGTGCCCTATAATCTATATGCAGCTCACTCTCTCTCCCTCTTTATATATATATATATATCTATATGTATTCATTTGTGTGTGTATAAATATATATATGTATGGGTGCGTATCTATTCTATTTGCAGTCTATAGGGACCTGAATTTTTCCTCGTAATTTCCTTTGTGCCATTCGCTTCTTCCTATGGTCGGTGCCAGTGGCCTCGTTGGCTGCCACTTCACAGTGCTGTCGGCGTCGACGCTGACGTCGCTGCCAGCGTCAGTTAGTAATCCCAATTCCCTCGTCGCCTATGTATACGAGTTTATTGCCATTTCCATATCTGGGCTTTATATCTCTCGTGTTGTATTCTCTGCTCGCCATTCGATTCGATTGGCTTAGCTGGAAAACTGGAACTGGAAAACTTAATAATAAAAAAAAAGTAAAACAAGTACACGAAATGAAAGAAGTAAACGAAAACTCAAAGAACGTGTCGTATATACGATCATTTAAAACCCGATCCAAAGATTATGAATGAATGATGCTGATCCTTTGCACTGTGTTTGTATATTAAAGATGGGTCATATACGACTGACATATGCTCTACTACTACCAATAACTGAGAGATACGAGGTAAAATATTAATGTAGTAACTAGTAACTGATTTATTCTAATAGCAGGGGACTTTTCTAGGGTAATGAATCAGAGTATTGTAAATGATCTTGATCACTTTTAATAGTTGGTTGCTGCGAAATAAATAATTGGAATCGGATAAGGGGAAAGAACTTTAAGCCAACAATTAAAATAAATGAAATAAATAATACATTTAAGTACTAATTGCCCATCAAGGAATATTTTATGTATGTATATCAATAGAAAAGTACCTTTCTATTTGTCTAGAGTTTTCCACATATAGTCGAAGGCAACACAACTGTACTGCTTGAGAGCCACCTAACTCTAATAATACCTTTCGAAAAAGGTATGTGTGTATTGTATGCAGCATATATAAAAGTCGTTTGGCTTCCCTAAAACGTAGCTCACGCCAAAATCGAACCCAAGTGAAATCCAATACATACAAATGCCCAAAGACCATTTGTATTTATAGCCAGCCCCTCCGAAAAAGAGAGTCAGAACAACTGAACAACTGAACTGACTGTCGCACCGACTGTCGTCTTTGTGAGCAAATTCCCCAGTCCCCAAGCTTCAATCCCCAATCCACAATTCGCATACACATCCTCTCGACATCTTTGTACAATAAAGATAGATTAGCATCTATCGAAAGCTGTGCCAGCAGAACGAACGAGCGACCGACCGAACGAATCCGAATGAATGCGGGTCGCTCGGGCGCATGACTGAAAGCTGGAAACTGAACTCTGAACACTGAAAACTGAAAGCAGCAGCATCATCATCAGCAACAGCAGCAGCAACGGCAGCGTCATCAGCATTGAAGGAGAATGGCATGGCTGATAGCCCCGGTGCCTCCCCTTAGAGTCTAAGCCAGTCGAGAACTGGCTGTGCTGGAGCTGATGCTCAAGTGCCATCATCGTCTGGCTCTGGGCCTCAATGATGCCTATGGAATTGAAGCAATGCCAACAACAACAGCAACAGCAACAACAGCATGTTATATATATGCATGCATATATAAGTATATATATTTGAGGAGCCCAAGAGGCTTACATCCCAAATACTTGAGCAGCGACAACCGGAGCAGCTGCTGTCGATGTCTGCCCATGTCGAGGCTACAGAGAATCTCAAACTCTAACTTAGTCTCAGTCTCGGTCTCCGTCTCCGTCTTCGTCTCTGTGTCGGTGTCGGTGTCGGTGTCAGGCGGAGTCGAAGTTTCAGACTCAGACTCGTTTCCACTCA